GAGAGAGAGAGAGAGAGAGAGAGAGAGAGAGAGAGAGAGAGAGAGAGAGAGAGAGAGAGGGAGGCTTTCGTCGAAGAAATCAACAAATCGAACGTCGACTTTTAGCCAATATGCACCGGGTGCAACGATTATCACGATTCAAGTCTATTGCAAGCCGCACACAGAAATACCGAGGCGCATGACTCTAAGTGCTCCATAATAGACTTTTGGGAAACACGGTGATTTTAGAATTTCAGTGAGAGTGATTCACTCACCCTCCATCCCGCTTGAGAATGCGAGGAAGAGGGTCAGCGAGATTTCATTACGTTTCCATACGGGCGCAGCTGTCGCGCGACAGGCATACGAGCGTGTCGTGTCCTACGTGAACGTTGCGTGTATCGGGTGTCTAATTGAAGCGAATTCTTCTCCATCTCATTTAAACTCAGCTACAAGGTGCATCACTTTCAATTGCAACAGTTACAATGTCGTTGCCTGCAATAAGCTTGAGATTTGCGGCATATTTATGTGAAAGATTCAGAAAATATCTTCCGATTCTTCAAGCACTAATGATATACAATCCCTGATTTATAAAAGTTTATCTTTATTTTGACTTAAACTAAAAATATATATGTTTATCTATTAAAATTTTTGTATACTGTTAGATATCAAAGGCAATGGCTACCCAATCTCTTGAGTTAAATAAAATTTTGTTATTTTTAACTTTCATGTGAGTTAACCGTAAATCAATCTATTTCTTGTAATTCTGGTTTCGAAACAATATTCATATTAATGTGTGCAGTTAGTAAAAACTAAATTCGAGTCAAATTTAATATATTTTTTTTTTAATTTGTATTTAATATATTTTCTTAAATTATTTAATATATTCAATAGCTATTATTTTATTTTTTTAAGTTAAAGTATTTAATTCCATTGATTTAATTAAATTAACGACACATTCAGTAAGAATAATGAATCTATAGAAAGGATTAAAAATAACTCAAATTGGATATAATTTAACATTGAACATATAACATTGAACTTAACAATGTACTTTAATTAAAGTTTAAAATATTTATATTTATCTGTCAAAATTCGACCTTACAAATAATGACGTTAGAAATTCGTTGACATTTGACACTAGGTATCACGCATACACAGCAACGGGACTTCCTGGTTCTCAGAGCAATATGTACCGCGCATTCGCGGACGAGCGGGAATATGCACGCACGCACGCTCGCGCATCTTGGTCGTTTTCGAGCGCGCGCCATGGAAGATCAAAGTCACCCGTGCTAGATATTTCATCGCGGACGTCTGAGCGGCTGCCAAGAGCTCCAAATGCGGCGGTCTGAGAGGATTTGCGAGCGGAAGCGAACGACCGGGGAGGAGCAAAATCACCGTCGCCGAGCGGATCCGCATAAGCGACTGCTGGCCAGGCTGCATGGCGACGCTCCATGCAGTCTATTGTTGCAATTAACAGTTATCATTGTTTAATTGTTGCAGTTGGTCTCTGCAAAGAATTGTGACATGATAAATTGCTCTGTACTTAGAGAAAAGTGGTTGTAACAGATGATTATTACATTATTATAGAAAAATATTATTCTATTGCTAAAAAAAAGTGATTTCTTTTCTTCCTTTTAAGCGGTCATCCATAACAAAGAATATTTTCTTGATAATAATCTTAAAATATGTTCATTATAAATTTTAGAGAAATCCATTACTATGCACTCAAAACAAGAATTTCTTTTCTTCTGAAGAATATTATAAAATTGATCGAAGAAACGACTTTATATAATAAGCAAGTCAAATTTGTTTTATGATAATTTGATAATCTGGATTGAATTATTAAAACTATTATAGAATTCAAAATGTACATATTTTAAATAAATTTATGCTTGTGAATTCATGGTAGGTTTGTGGATATATGAACTTTTAAAGTTACTTGGTAAACCAGTAGATATTACTTGCATATTTTTTTGTATGTACATACGTTTTATATGTAGAATTAATGTACACAAATACAGTTGAATAAACTATTTTATATAGTTATTATAACAACTATAAAATAAATTTATTTATTTATATACATTAATTTTGCATATAAAATTTGAATAAACTATTATAATTATTCAACTGTATTGCATCAACATATTGATCAATAGTCAAGGTATTTTATAAATATAAAGTGCCTTTTCTAGACATTATATTTATGAAACTGATCGATCGGTTACATTTTATAAATGTAATGCCTGTTATAAAAGGTATTACATTCATAAAATAATCGATATATTAATGCAACATGCGGTACAGTAATTCTCTGTAAAATTTGATTAAACTATATGTATAGTTAATATAATTATAAAATAATTTATTTAATTATATATAATATATCAATTCTACATATAAAACTTAGTTGTCACTTATATGTATAATATACACTCATAAAAAAAGTGTTTAATTTTAAGATTAAAAATATAAAATGTTTTATATTTTTATCTTCATTTTTCCAAACACTCAAAAATGTTTTAGTTTTTAATTTTTTCAATAAACGAAATATTATAAAAATATTTCGGATTTAAAATACTAAAACGTTTAAAGTTGAAATATCTTTTATTATTAAACGTTTGTTTCGTATAGATATTTTAAACATAAACATTTTAAACTGCATTTTTTATAGTGTAATTGTTACTATTACGTTTTTTTCTTTGTGAAAATATAAAAAATTCAAAATTTGAATAATGCAGAAATACTTTTATTTAATTATTTATTTTGTTTCATCAGTATATACAGGGTGAATCAGAGTCATTGAGTTTTCTATGAAAAAATTATTGACTCCACATGTTATAATTCAAATAGATATGAAATCGATAATTTTCTCATAAGAAAGTTGGTTCACGACTTTGATTCACCCTGTATATATATATATATATATATTATATATATGTATATACGTTATTTGTTGAGTTGAGTAATTTTTTCTCAACATATGTAGGTACCCCTATCCATGAAATAATGCACAATGAGATAAAAAATCAGATAACCACTTTATTTTTGTTGAGTAAAATTTGAGAATATGAAAATTTTGCTTCTATTAAGTTCTCATATCTTTTAATCAGATATTTCTCTAATATTAATACATATTTTTCATTGAACATAAATTTCTAATTTTATTTCTATTTTCTAATTTCATTCCGCAGTCATCACGCGGTTAGCGTCCGTTATATTTATCCTGTCAAAGTATTATTCTATCGAAGTCCGCGGTTGTGAATTATTCGCCCAACTTGTTAGTTCATGTCGGTAGGGTGCCAGAATCAACGGTCGATATCCAGTCGACCGGCGAATGAAATATGAATATTAAAGTCATAGTGCACGCATGAGCGAGGTATTACACAAACGGAATCACAGCTCTTGCGCAACATCACGATCCCTGGTCTTCGAACTTTTCGTCTCGCGACATTCCTGCGAGATAGCCGCGGTTTCTCGAACTCAACGCGCGAGGCGCATCTCAAATGAATCCCCTCGTTCGTGTTGAATTTATGTACGCGTGCCTAACGGACCTCTCTAATCGTTTATCAGCCGCCACGCGCGAATGTTAAATCGAGGCTCATTTGGTTTCAATCGACTAGATTGATTACGTTGTAAGTCGAAATGGAAAGTGTGTAAAGAATATAAATGCTTTCTCTCTAAATGAGCAAATCAAGGGTTTTGATTAATACATGAATATTATTAATTCGTGTACAATTATTATGTGAATATTTGTGCAATAATTGTATTATGATTATTTTTACAATTATAAATTGTGTGTTAGAAATAAGGATGTACAAATAATAAGTAGGAAGCGCACCTTATATGAGCATCTTATATGATTTGGATGTTAGAAGGTACTTAGATATCTAATCTTTTACAGAAAAAAAATTTTTTTAGTTTTTTAAATTGTGTGACGAATACAGTCAATTTTGAAATGCCTAAATTAAAGCTGGAATATGATAATATCGTAAATTTAATTTATATTATAA